ATTGGTTGAGCTGAACCATATAACTATACATTTTTATTGCTAGAGTTAGAGATACAATGACACACTGTTTTCATAATATTGTGTCTCCCTTATTGTGATGTTATCTTGCATAACTTACTCTGTTTTGACAGTGAAATGTAGTGATGAGGTGGTAATTCATGCTTAGTCACTAAAACAGTCCACTATGGTGAGCCCATGCAGCCTACTCAGCATTATGTCTCCTTTTACAGCTGCCTCCGTCTGCAATACCAGTGCCACTATGAACAAAACACTCTTCTAATGTTTAAATGTGAAAACAACAGTGTGCCATTGTGCTATCTGTTTGTTCTGCTCCTCTAAATTGTGAGTGCTTCATTGCGTCTCTGCGTAATCCTTGATCCCTCTGTTCCTATTGCACTTACTGCGGCTGCTGCACTGTGTGGGTGGCCCAGTAAATAGACTGCAGCGGTTCTCAGCATTGTGTTGTTAAAAAGACATCAAATACAGACTTAGCATCAGGATTTGTTTTCATTATCAAATGAGTTTGTGTGCAAGAAGAGGTTGGCGTTAAAATGAGGATCTTTGAAAAAAAGAAAGCAAGGACCTAGAATATTTGAAAAGTGATAAATGAATTGTGTATTTCAAGAGAATAAGAAAACTGTCTTGAGGAGAAGTAATAGTTACCTCATATGATTATTAACTACACCCTTATGACTTCTACGACTAATTACAAAGCTGCAATATGTGCTTTAAAACTGTGAAGAACTGGGGAAGATAACACCACTCTAGTCTATTTCTTGCGTAAACTCTTGAATTTTACATTCATACATTTTTGGCTACTCTACACACCTCTGCAAGGGAATTTCTATACTGTATGATTAAAAAAGATCTCTCTTATCTTATCTGATATAGAAGTGATATCCACTCAAAAGTAAAATATTCTAGTACCATAAAAGTACATTATATGTTGCAGGACTGTGATGTGCCCTCTTACTTTCAACTTCTGAGCCTGAGTGTCAATGCTTTATAAACTGCTCCATAATCATTTCAGTTCTTACATTATGCAAACGCTGCAGGTGAGAAGCTACAAAGAACAGTGTGTTTGCCTGACAGTTATTTATAGATTAGTGGAGCTGCTTTTCATCCACTGCTCATCAATAATAACAGCATGCCCACTTATAAGTAATTATCCTGGTACTTTGCAGAGGCCTAGGCCACAGATGGAGGAGAGAAAGGACTTATCTAATGTACTCCATCAGCATGTTTCTCCTCTGATGTACCGCCGCTCTACCTTGTACATGCTAACTGTGCAGTCTGTTTACTCAACATGGCTTTAAATCAAATATGGTGACTGCAAATAGATGTGTGTAATCCTATGATGAGAGCCACAGTAGCCCCCGTGAGATTAAATAAACTATTCAGATTTGAGGTACTGCTCCGTAATATAAAAATATGTCTTGTGACGGGCTCCTACAATGAATGCAACACACAATTATAATTAAAGCAGGGATTAATGAGCATCTTATTATGAAATCGTGGGGGAATATATTAGTAAATGGTCCTAAATGCTAATGTATTGACTTTGCTGTGGAAACAAAATTATCATCCGGATGAAAATAACACATTTGCATACATCAGTAAACATCATCGAATTGGTAATCTAACCACTTAGTGCGGGCAGTATGGATTTTTCTGTTTCTGTTCCTCTGCACCAGGCCCTCAAGCTCTTCTACAGCAAGTACATCTGCCAGGGGAGAATTAATTTACTGTAGGAATGTTACTGAATGAATCTTTATATCCCCGTAGTTTATTGATTTGCAGACAGTTTGAATGCTATTGACTTTTCGGAAGTCATAAATAATGGTTAGTCCAATGTAATGTTAAACAGTTGCTGACACAAGAAAGGGAGAGGCCAACTTCAGTTTTTCAGTAAATACATGAATAAAAATAAGTGAAATGGTTGGTCACTTCACCCTATTTGCTGACTGGAAATTACATTAGACAAAGCAGATGTTACAAGTGTTATGCCAAAAATGCTAATTTTCAACACCTGTCTACAGGAGACTTTTAGTGCAGTTTGAAAAAATAGAGACTAAAAAAAAGTAAGAGCACAATATTAAGACTCACAGCTGATTTCATCCATAGTTTCAGACATGTGTTAGATTCTAACTTCGATCTGTAGATTTTGGTTTGAAGAAAGTTCTACAGTCTAGGTCCATGAGAGGAAAATCTGGACTGTCCAACAGTTTTGTTTTCTGCTTTGAAACAACCCATTCCTCAGAGGCTCTGGTGTCAGGCTTGACAGAACCCCGAAACCTGAAAGCCAGACAAGAAAATCTTTAAAAATGTAATTTAAAAAGGTGCTAAAATTAAGAACATTTTTAAAGGTAAAACATCATTTAACTGGTTGGTTATGGCAAACAATTTCATAGATTCATTCCAAGATGTATTTCTTTGACCACCAAATTTAGTCATGTAAAAGAGTTTTGTGTTATCCTGCTAGAACCCTGTGTTTCTGATTACCTCATATCCAGACAACAGTGTCTGCAGCTTGTTTCTATAGAGACACCATAATGAAACATCTGTTGTAGAGCCACTTGCCATTAGCCCTGATAATTTCTATCTCTGAAAACTTCCAAAATACAAAGTGAATTTTAATGTCCCAACATGAATAATCCAGTCTGATGAAACCTTGTTGAAAAGACAGAAATCGTCACCTCGGGAATATTTATTCAGTTACTTAGAATTTTTAATCACAAAGTGGGCTGTGATCTATGTTGCAACCGGCCTGTAGGGGGCACTTTTAGCGGTAAGTTCATGATAAAATATACAGACTCAGTGCACTGAGTGTTAATTAAAATGGAGAGGGTAAAGCTCAACCTCAGCCAGTGTTAATGTTTTTGACCTTGAATGTGCATCTTTGACAAAGCATGACTGTACTCCATAAGCAAGTGTTTTATGAGATGGGGAATGACACAGCCAGAATCCCAAACTGTGCAAGAAGTAATAGCCTACACTGCAAAATCAACAAGAGGCAAAAGAAAGCAGCTAGAAGGCTTGGAAAATTCCAGAATCACATCCGAAAAATTACAGTTCTCTTGCAAAATGGTCCAAGTAATTGCTAATCCTCTGCAAGTAGTCATTTTTTATTGTGAAGAAATTATTGTTGTTTTCACTTTTTGAACAGAAATCACAGTCGCATTAGAATCAAAAACAGATTCTTCGTTTTTCTGATAATGACCACACATTTGTAGCAGTAGTGGTTGTGGTTTCTTGTTTGATGCGGGTGGTCATCTCATAACCCACTCACACAGCGTGGAGTCATGTCTTTTTTATAAGTTGTCTTAAAGTGCAATCGCCACACACTGTGTCACGCCTCCTCTCATTGTGAGCTGCTGTCATCCCAATAAACCTCCCTGTGTTTTACCTCCATCTTCACAGAGCGCCTTTTCACCCATCTCCACAGGCTACTGCGACGAGTGGAATCACATTTTATCAATCATAAGAAGCAAAGCATGGAAGAACAACCAAACTTTGCCTGAAGCGTCTTCTTTCACAAGTGTTTACGAGAGATACATTTTGATAAGATGTTTTGTTGTCATGAGCAGAACAGAGCATATATATAATTGATGTTGCAGACAGAATAAAAATACATAACCCCTTGGCTGTTATCGTAAAATGAAAAGGTGAAGACGTCCTATAAAGTCGGGCAGCATTGTGTTGTATTTTGCTTCATCTTAAGAGGACACATCTGTTGGTTGGGCCTTGAGGGCAGCTGTCACCCATTCACTGCTCCCCTCTGCACTTGGGACTAGACAGTTTTTTTCTTGCCTAAAGGTTGCATTTGTAAAGTTTGGAAAAGTAACGGAAAAGGTCGAGGTGGAGGTCAAAGATCTTAAGCAACAGCAGGCATCAAACAATCAAACTTTATTTGTATAAAACTTTTCATACAATTGAAATGTAGCACAAAGTGCTTCTCACGCACGAGAACAATTACGCATTGCACTGCAAATGACTGCGCATGGTGGCAATTTCCAGAGTCTGGTCTTGAACCAAAAACCTGTGGTTCATCCACTTAACTACCACTGACATAAAAAAAAAACTCTTGAACTGTTGATTTGAAGTTTTTTGCTTACCCAGTCTCTTAATTTAATCAGCGGTGAAACATGTTGGTGGTGTGTTCGAAAGAGAATATTATGAAAAGTTTTAGGCTTAAAATACTTGAAAGGGGTGAAATTTTGCTGAAAATTTAAATATGGCTAAACCGGTTAAAGCTGTAAACAAGTAAAATGTATAAATATCAAACAGTACTGAAGAAACTGTAAGTGAATTATAAGTGAACTTAAGTGCACTTCTACTCCATCTACTTTGTGGAGAGCTATTCAGTGAACTCTTATGGTAACAGTTCCAGTTTGTTAATTAAAAAAAATATATATATATTGTAAGTTATCAAATACACTAATTTAATAATCAGTCAAAACATGAAAAAGTTGCAGAGTAAGTTTCAGTTTTGGCATAAGCAGCAGCTTGGTAATAATAATCTGTATAGTTAAATGCAAAACAGGGACACACATTGTGGACATTTACACTAGTGTAGTGTATACCATGCTACGCCTGCCAGCCGGTAGCACAGTGCAGCCGTGAAGCTGCGTCATCAGGAGGACTGCAGGATCCCGGACCCAAAACGCAGAGACAGGCAGAGGCAGAGAGAGGCAGAAAGACAGAGACAGAGAGAGGCAGAGACAGAGGCAGAGCTCAGCGATGGGACAGAGACCGACGCAGGGGAACCACACTATACACACATCCCAGTCTAGGAGTTGAGTCTGCTGCTCTGTTCCTCCTGCTCCTCCAGGCTGCAGTCCTAACAGGGTAAGTCCTCTCTGCAGTGCACCAGCCATCTGCAGGGGTGAACACGGCTGTAACATTGATGAAATATGCCGTATAGGGCTGTTTATTGTGTGCACGGAGCATGTAGAGGAGCACTTGTGTGTGTTTGTCTCTGGGGCCTGTATGCTTACATGATGGACTACAGCAGTGGCGTACAATCTGCAGTACTAGCTAACACTGGCAATGCAGCACCCATCTGCCTCATCGCTCCTCTCTTGATTACTCAATACTTAATAAATTAGATTGTGGTATATTCCATGTACAAGCACACACTACTGTATTTACACATGCCTAGTAACAAAATGCTCAAAAACAATCTTTTTTTTTTTTTTCAAAATGACCCCTCACTGTAAGAGCCTGCTTATAGAGCAGTGCCCAATTATTTTAATGAGCTGTTGCTATGGACACAATACATACAGTACATGTTAAAGGTTGCATAAAACTGGGTCACACATGCAGTGCACGTTTCAGTAATGTAATTTGACTTTTTGCAAACTTTTTAAGTGTGATTTCAAGACAGTTTATCATAAGACTATGGAAGTAATATTTTTAGAAGCCTGAAGTTGCTGCTACCAGTATCAGTAAAACTTAGTGAAAATATATATTTTAAAAGAATATTGCAAAATTGTCTGAAAGGCAACTACATGCATGTTGTCATGTAATTAGCATGGCATGAGAGTTATCAAAAAGACAAAAATGCCATATATAATGAGAAAGTGCTATAAACCCAATGTTTGAAACAAAGATAACACTTGCTAAGGGGTTACATTCATCATAGAAAAGTTTGAATCTGCAAGTCTTTTGTATCTTCAGTCATGTGTTTCATCTCTATTTTCCAGTGGATGACGCAGTTTCGAGCCTCTGCTTTTATCAAAATGTTGTTGGTGGTTTTGTCCATCACCTTTGTCCTCAGCGTGAGTGCACTTCCTGCAGATTCAGAGAAAGGGAGGAGGAGAGTGGTCCATGTTCTTGGTAAGACAATCTTACTTTTTCATATGAATTCACTAGTTTCATGGTAACTGAAATAAGCCTTGAATATACTTGCAGTTTACATGTTAAATAATTTTCTATCTATTTATTGTGTTCTGTAATAAATGAATCCTGCTTTATTACCAAACCAGTGGCTTTAATAAGAAATTCGAGATAGTCAAGAATGCAGAAACCTAGTAATTGAAAAGTTGACATGTGGTTTGTTTTTCCAATATCTGTTGGTGTGTTGTGGGAAAGTGTTGATTAGAAGACACTTGAAGCTTTGTGATAAACAACTTTGCACACTGGAGGGGCTTTGGCAAAGATAATTGTTACTGATGAAGCTAATTACAGGTGTCTTTCTGTGGTCACGGCACAGCAACAGACCCCTCACATTCTCATTACAGCTCAAATGTTCCCAGTCTGAGCATATCTGAGCTGGACCCTGCCAAAATGCTAATGTTTTCAGTGATAAAGAGATGGTGGTCAATGAGTTGGATAAGGGTGATGTCATATGTGGACTATAAAGCTGTGGAGGATCACTATACTTTATGTGGTGGAAGGTAAAAAGTAGTAAAGTACAGAATTTTTAGGTATCTGTATTTTACTTAAATACATTTTAAGGTGGATACTTTTTACTTTTAATTCACTACATTTGAAAGAATGTATCTGTACTTTCTACTGCACTACATTTCTGAATGAACAGGACTGAAAAGCACTTTTCATATGATTTGAGGGGATATATTTACCAGGTTTGTGGTAACATCCTATCTGAAGGTTTTGAGTTCAAACTTCAGCTTTGACCAAGCAAGATAAATACACAAAATTCATAAGACAAGTTAATTTGTATTGACACTGTTACCCAAAATCTTTATTAAACTTTATTAAAATATGAGTGAAAAACATTTACATTTTACTTGGCTAAACGGTACTTACTTTTATTTAAGTAGATTTTTTTCCATGTGATACTTTTGCATTTACTTAAGTAACTTTTTGCCATTGTATCTGTACTTTTACTGAAGTAACAAAATTGAGTACTTCATCCACCTCTGCTTTTCTAACATGACTTACTTTCTGGTAGAACGTTCAGTACTGGCTGCAGAGGCCCATGGAAACTGTGGCTACAGAAGTAGTTAAGCAACACCAAAATGTAGGGAGTTCATATAATGCAATGTGAAGAAATTTGGGTATATGCAATATTCACTATAGCCATGTAAATTATATGGATTAGCTGCACATCTACAGTGGTGTGTAATTTACTGATAATAATAATAATACATAACACTTGTATAGTGCTTTCCATGACACGCAAAGGAGCCTCATACAGTTCAAGACAGACAAAACAATTTGAACAGTAAACCAGACAAGGTTTTCTTAACTTGACCTACAAGTATGTGTATGCATGTGAGTATCTGTTATGTTGTGTAACAATACTTGAATTAACACTACCTTTCCCCTTTCTCCTTGTGAAGTTGGTGCATGTGAATCACTGATTGGATGTTCTCCACCATTGATATGCAAGATGATAGAGGCGCTAATATGACAGCGCAAGTAAACAACTCATGGTTTATTAGGCGATCCAATTTCACTGCTGTCCCACTGCGCACCATCCCTCATGAAGACTATAACGATGGACCACAGTAATTACACTTACAAGTGCTGATAGTGTCAAAGCCAGTGGCAAATAGCAGCAAATTGACTTGTTCTCAGCCCAAGTGTGAAATTTAGATTAGGAGTGTAAATTTGTCATTAGTTGTGGATGTTCGTATCATATTGTATTTTTCCCACAGAGGATGACACAGGGGCAGTGATAGTGCAGACAGCTCCTGGTAAAGTGGTGACCCATCGCGGGGGCTCCATAACACTACCCTGTCGCTACCACCACGAGCCCGAAGACATAGACCCCTCCCGCATCCGGATCAAATGGACCAAAGTGACAGACGCGCTGCAATTTGAGGACGTGTTTGTGGCACTGGGAAGGTACATTTTCTCATTTTCTTTTTAATTATAGTTAGAAGATGTAATTGTGATTTTGTGAACACAGTTTTGTTAGAGAGTTAAAAGTGTATGAATACAGAAGTTTCAACCTCAGATGAACCAAGGGCAAAAATTATGAATGCCAGTTTGATTCATTTAGTGTTTCTGAATGAATAGTACCTGCTTATCAGGTTACTAATGACACTGACTTTATTAACTTAAAGGTCCTATATTACACAAAATTGACTCTTGTGAGGTTTAAGCCATATTAGAATGTTGTTACCTCATCTAAACCATACCTGGAGTTGTGTTTTGTTTCATTCACATATGTTTAAGCAATCCTTTATTATTAGTCTGTCTACATCTCCAAAGCTCAAAAACTCAGTTCCACTTTGTGATGTCATGATGAGGCAGTGGTTTTCAAGTTAACAGCTTCCGTTTACCTTTTGTTTATTAGAGATGGGAAAATGCAGGCTATTAGTTTAAAGTTTAAAAACACACTGGAGCATTTCCTGCATTACCACATGGCATCATTGTTTTCCATTTGAGAAAAGAACTCAGTCTAAATGTAGGGTTTATGTGTTAAACATGTTTAAATGAAACAAAAGTCAATGTATTTGTATGTTTGTGATGAGGAAACATTATAATTTAGATCAGAAAATAGTGTAATATATAGAAAATAGAATCTGACAGCATTGTGAGATATGCTTTTACAATATTGGGAAGAGAACTTACTTCTGAACTAAAGTCAAGGTAAGGAATTAAAAAGCACCAAATAAGTAGGCTAAGGAAACATTGGCATAAGTAAATGTTTTTTGTTTTGTTTTGTTTTTCTTCATTTTAATTAATATTTTATTATGCTTTCACTTGCATTTTGTCCACCAACCAATCCTTAATTCTTTTGCACAAAGGTGTGAATGAATGATGATTTATTTTTTCTTGTGTAGTCCGATTAGGTTCATTAGGTCTTCTGTATTCATTACGCTAATAGACGTCTGTACATAAGAATTTAAAGTATAATTATTTTTTCTTGACAAATATGTCATAATGAGATGACTCAAAGTGTGCTTATTAATATAAATTCCACAGGCAGCAGCGTGTGTATGGAAAGTACCGGGGGCGTGTGTTTCTGGAGGAGGCGGGGCCAGGGGACGCGTCTGTTGTCATTCACAATGTGACTCTGGATGATTACGGGCGATATGAGTGTGAGGTCACCAACGACATGGAGGACGACACCGGCTTTGTCAACCTCGATCTGGAAGGTCTGGGGTCAAGTTCAACTGAGACAATAACAAGGCTCTTATAAGACAGGACTAGAATGGAAATGACTAAGAATGGCATAAGGGTTAGGCTGCAACGCAAAGTCAGAACAACATGCAAGCATTTATGCTGAAAGTAGGCTAAAATACAGCAGTTGGTCAATTATCTTTGAATTTTAATATTTTTTAGCTTTTCAAATTTTTTTAACTTGTGTGTTTGTCCATTGATCTAAACACTGGTGTTTTGAATCCCGCTCTTGACCTAATCATGATGTGGAGAGCGGACAAATCTGACTGACCCCCAGGTTGGCGGTCCTATTCTAGCTATCACAGATGAATGTTGTTATTGTGTTGATGGGCAAGACACTTAACCCACATGGCACCTAGTGTCTGTGTACACTAGTGTGTGAATGGGTGAGTCACGAGTGGTTTCTTGATGTAAAGCGCTATGAGTATCTTGAAGGTGGAAAAGCGCTATACAAAAATGTCACCATAAAAAGTGAGAGGGTAACATCAATGGAATATAATAAAAACAAATTGCACATTTAATTTTTTTTTTTGTGTTTGTGCAGGGAACTTTATTGTGTATAATAGAACTACAGTATTTTAATATTTGCAGGAGTGGTCTTCCCCTACTACCCCCAGTTGGGGCGCTATAAGCTCAACTACCACCAGGCAGAGGACGCATGCAAACAGCAGGATGCTATTTTGGCCTCTCACTCTCAGCTGCACAAGGTCAGTGATGGTCTCATACTGTGGAGGGACTGCTTTACACTTGTTAAATAGGTTATTGCTTCACAACCCCAAACTTCAACACTGCACTGTCATTGACTTTGAGGATTTGTTATTGAGGATTGTTTTTCGTGTACTGTAAATGACCTCAAAATAAGAAATAAACAGGTGGCGAGCAGAGAATGGGAGTTCTTTGTAAATAGTCTGAAAATAAACAAACCCATAGCACTGCCAGTCTCAAACAGGCAAAATTAAGAAAGTCAGTCTGACATAAAACAATTGTCTCATGATCTACATGCAACGAACTGAGCAGCTGATTTGCAAGTGTGACCTCAAGAAGGAAAGAAAAGGGTACAAGCTTTTAATATTAGACATATGATATTTTCTTAAATTTACAGCAGATCTCATCTTTTCCTCAAAGACCTTGTGTGGTGTGTAATAAAGTAAGCCTTTAATCGAATTGTGTCACAGATGATGAAGTACCCCTTTTGTTCTTAATAATGTGTAATGATTGAGCTTGTCCCACTGACCCAGATAGCGTGTCCTTGTACAGGCCTGGTTGGAGGGGCTGGACTGGTGTAACGCAGGCTGGCTGGAGGATGGCTCAGTGCAGTACCCCATCTCTCACCCCCGGGACCAGTGCGGGCGCAAGGACACCCCGGCCGGAGTGAGGAACTATGGGTACAGACACAAGGAGGACGAGCGCTATGATGCTTTCTGCTTTACCTCAAAGCTTAATGGTGAGGTCACTAAACAATCCATTTTATTAATAGAGTCTCGCAGCAACAGTTTAAGGAAAATCATGAAACAAAGAATATCCTTACAGTGTTTGTTAATCCTACTTTTGACTAATAGTACTTCATAGCATTTGCTATGGGTCTACAAGAAAAATTATCACTGTTGCCATAGTTGTCTAATTTCAGTTTTTGAATTGGCCCTCAAACTGTCCCCTATAAACAGAAAGTTGAAACAAGTCCATGTATATCTTCTTAAATAGTCTGTGTACAATGCTTAAGCTCCATAGTACTTTGAATGATAGTTAATAGTTTAAATAAAGTTGAATTTGTGCATTGGTTTCAATATAATATTTTGTTAACTGCTATGGCAGCTGTGTTCATTTTTCACCACTCTGAACACCCCAGGATATTGATTTGTACAGTCATAACTATATTCTAATTAAATCTTTGCTCAAATTCAGAAAAAGTTATGCTTAGACTAAAATCTACTAAAATGTTATGTGACTCTTTACTGTCCATGTGCTCCCATATAACATAAAACCAGCACAAACATTTTCCATGAATGAATGCAAAATGACAATACAGTAGATGCATACAAACTTTTCTGTATTGTCTTTGATCTGAGCCTGTTACATTAGATGGTGGGCCTGCTGCTGTGAACAGGCTGCTACAGGCCCCTGTCCCTTGTGCACAGTCTCTGTCTTTTCTCCAGCTCCTTTGATTTACATCAGATTCCAACAGCGCGGCCACCTCCGGGTTACAAACTTTAGCACTGAAGTCTATGTGTAGTTGGGGCTGACCAAGCAACTCCTCATGTGGAGAATAAAGCAGCTTGGTTTCTGTGAAGATGAAAACATACTTTTAAAAAATTCTGATTGCTACAAATAATCAACTGTATCATGACATGACCAATGAAACAATCTGAGTTCTGAGGCAACTGCTTGTAAGTAAAGAGTAGGGTATATAGAATGTGAGTCTAGTTGTCTGTTGGGAAGAAAACTGAGATCTTGGATGTTATTTTGTTGAGAAAGACTTACAACTGTGATATTAGTATATGATTTGAAACCATCTCCAATATTCCAGCTCTTAGATAAGTATAAAATTACTATACCTACCTTATTAATCTGCCCCGGCCACTTTAAACTCTGATTGCCACTCACCTGCTACTAAAATATTACACAAAGCAGGTGGATTTCTGTAAAATGTTCAGTGTTCATATGCACCAACAAATCAACAATGCACCCTTTCTCTGGATGGCTTGAAAGCATCTTTGTAATACATAACTTATTTGCTGTCTTAAAAAAATCATACAACCGCAATGATAATGGTAACACCATTGGCAACTTCCTGTTTAAGGTCAATATAACTCATTACAATTGCAAAAAGGCAAATCACCTTTATTGAAATCTAAAGTGTACAAAGCTACTCCAAGTCCGACCCTTATTAAGAAACTGGTCAGTTGATCTCTAGTCTTCCCTGGTGTGTTAATTATTGCGGACAGTGCGTTGTGGTCAGTAGGCTGCGGTTGTGGTGCTGGACTATAGTGTTACAGGGGCCAGCTGGAGGGTATTAGAGAGAGCCCCGGGGGAAGCCCACATCACATCCAGCCTCTCTAATAGCAAACCACCACATAAAGCAGAATCAATAAACAGGCCTGAGGTTAGGAGCATACTGTAATTCTAATGATTGGAAGAAAGTGCACTTTGTTTATTCTGGGTTAGTGCTGTACAGTATTTCTTACATTCTGTAGTTATCCTCTTAATTTTAATATATGGTGTATTATGTAACTTTTCTAGGGTGGGGTGCAGGGTCCGCTACCTTCTTTTCTCCATGGAGATGTTATTGCTTTGTCTGAAAAGTGTCACAGTATGGCATTAAGCCTTTCTATCATAATGGAGACCAAACCAGGCCAAGTTACTTGTCAGATCTGTGTAGAGATTCTACTCACAGTCAGAATGTCTGTTTTTCTTTGAATTTTAAGTAATAAAACCACCTGTAATTAAATGTAAGGTTTAATGCCATATTGTGGTACATTTGAACCACAGCAATGACATATCCATAGAAACAAGAGGATGACGAATCCTGAATTGAAAAGTTAGAAGATGCACCTTTAAACAGCTCTGATGTTCTTAATATAAGATAAGAGATAACAATGAACTTTACTGATCTCACAGCGTAGAGATATACATTTTTTATGGCCTAATACATAAAAGAGTTTGGAACAGAAATATGTCTTAATGTGGTCAGTCCAGTTTGTGCCAGTTAACAATCTGCAGAAATGGTTGGTTTCGGGAAGGCATCTGATGCAAATCCTATAAAATGCAAATGTAAAATCATGAACTCTATAGAAAGCAGATGATTTGCTGTGGCAATCCTTCAAAGTAAAATGCCCCGAAAGAAAGAAGTTGTTACTATCAAATTCAATTGAGCTAGTGGAGGATACCAATTTTCTTAATGCTACCTGGCACAAATTCTCCCCAGAGGTGAGATGAAAGCAAAAATGGAAACGTTTTAAGAGTAATTTAGAGTCAGGGAGCTGTCTGCGGATATTCAATTTTGAGATGCCCAAGCGCTGGTGAAGATGACTTGATATTCCGAGCACAGCCAGCAGCCAGAGAGGCCAGGCTAGAGAGAAGATCTACCCTTGGGGCTCAGTCTGTCTCTTGGGTTTTGCCTCTTTCTTCATAAAAAATGCTGTCTTTTCCCTCAGCCTTTCAAATATTGTCTCAACAAACATACCACTCTCTCCCCACAGGCAAAGTGTATTTCCTGAAACGATTCAAGAAGGTGAACTATGCCGAAGCGACCAAGGCGTGTGTCCGCGATGGTTCTGTTATCGCCAAAGTGGGACAGCTCTACGCGGCCTGGAAGTTTCAGCTCTTGGACCGATGTGAGGCAGGCTGGTTGGAAGACGGGAGTATTCGCTACCCCATAGTGAACCCACGCACCCGCTGTGGAGGCGACTGGCCTGGAGTGAGACACCTGGGGTTTCCTGATAAAAAATTCAGATTATATGGAGTCTACTGCTTTAGGAAGAAGATAGAGGAAGTGACAAGTCTAATAGCAACAACTAAGAGTCCAGTGAAGAATAGAACCAGTGAGACCACAAATTCTACTGGGTTAGCTTGAAGAACGCTGGACATTGTTACACGCTTTGTTTCCACCAAGATGTTTTGAATGGTCGCATTTCCCAGTCAAATTCTGAATTTTGGTACAGCAAGAAAAAATTGTTAGCCAGGCTTGTACAGTGATTTTGTATTGTGAAAAAGACATAACATGGCTGTATCTAATATTTTTAAAGAAAGCAACATCATGCAAAAACACTTTCAACCATGTTACAATTGTTTTCCCTTCTCATTTACCCAGTCAAAGTTGTATTTAGAGTGATTCATGCATATTTGAGTAACCTTTATTCTACTGCAATCCTTCCATACAACCACGGCTCTGTACTTTCCGATTATTTTTCAGAAGTGGTCAAACAGGTTTGGTTCAGCAGTGTTGCACAGCCATTTTGACAGAAGTGAAAAAAGTATTGCTTAAATGACGTTTATGGTGGCAGCATGGCAGTTATTTGCAATTGAAAGTATTAAATATGTAAATTAAATTATCCTTGGGTGCCATAGATTATAAGTTTATATCAGACAAAAGCATAATGTCTTCTTTACTTCCCATTGCTTTTACTGTTATGCTCTCCTGCAGTCTTATATTATTTGCAAAGCAGGCAGTACTGAACTATATGAACCTCTTGGTGGAGACAAGGCTTTAGATCCACAACTGTCACCCTGCAGTCATTCAGTCATCCAGACTCCGTCTTTACACTTGTGAAATCAAACATGCTCAGAGTAGATGTAGACATTTTCTGATTTGTGAGACGGCTGTGAAAAATTACGGTTGACGTCTTGATTAGGACAATTTTCCCCTTCGTCTCCAGTCAGTCAATCACTCCGAGGAGCGCATCTGTCTGTGCCACATTAAACAGCAGTTTGATCATCAATCAACAACATATCAGGCATCATCTTATTTACCTGCACGTGGGCGGGCGTGCACATCACATCCAACTAAGTGTCAAACAGGGAGACTTTTCAAAGGGAATGGGTTGAAAATATAGTACTGTGTCAAAGACTTAGCTAGATTTAACCACTGATAAATGTGTATCATTCAAAAACAAACAAATTGTTCACATAGAGAAAGAATCAATATTACAGCTAGAAACACTTGGAGAGAGTTTGCTCCAGGCAAGGTTCTGGTCTTATCTCGAAGTGTTTCTGCTTTCTGAATCTCAACATAAATGAACAAACCTTCAATTTCAGGAGTAAATGCTTTTGTCAAATGGGCTAAAAAAAAAACTAAAAAAAAAACACAACATGTAAAAAACTAAATTCTATAATTGTTGTGCTTTTCTATTATTTTCATGACAAATATAAGATAAAAATATAGAAAACCAAATGTGGCTGCATGCTACAGGTGTTCCAGTCAGTGAAAACAAAATCTTAAAGTTAAAAGGCCTTCATTTAAATAGCCAAAGAATAAAAATTGTTTAATAGAACACTTTAAAGTAGTTCTTATTTTTTATTTTCCTCCCTAACCCAGAGTGAGACTTTTGCACAGTACCATATGTTTGTAAGTGAAATTGCCTGCCTTGATGCCTCACTTAGTTGGTAAATAAAATTTGCTTTAAACTCCCTTCATTAAACAGGCCTAGTCAATGCTGCAGTGGCTCTGTGATATTTGCTCCTCTTAATGAAAAGCTGTAGTCCCTCTGATGCACTTTAGGCAAGACTTAAGCTAGCATGTGTTGTTTGGCTGAACAGGCACATCTCCAAAGTCGCACAATAAAAAGCTTTTACCTCATATGATGCACCTTACTTCTCTAGCACTTTGAATAGGACTTTGTGAAATATTCAATGCAATACTATGTTGACACAATGGATGTTAAAAAAATAAAATAAAGTACTCTGAAATATATATAAAAATGTGTTTGAGTTATTTTATATGAATATTAAAGCATATGTGAAAGAAACATACACACGGTACAGTGTGTACATGAGATTTCACACTCTTGAATAAATCATAGAACAATTAGGACTCAGGACAAGTTAGAATAACCTTTTCTCAATGGCTGTCATAAAATGTTATGATATAACCCATTTTACACACGATTTATGTGTGGTCACAACCTGCTATTTTATTTCTGTCTTGTTCACTTAAAACTTGAGTTGAGTTGCATATAAAACAGCCCCAGAGGATCTGAATTCACTGAGCCATGGTGAGCAAACACTCAAAAAATAATGCATTTTGATTGTAAAAGAACAAGGACTATAAAATGAAAACACTTCTTGGTGTATTTTATGTTCTTAGGGAAACACACATTGATTTAGCATGTAGCACCATTATAAGGTCTGTACAACATGTGTGATTATGTTAAACTATGAACTATGGCAGAAACTATGGGAGTTGACAGGAGCCCAGCTTCCTGCACACTGACCTTTAGCTCTGCTCCATCTCCCACGGTTACGGCTGCTGTGACTGCCAAGAAGCCATGACCTATGTGTCAATCCATGTATTTTAAATGATTATATAGTGTCATTAATATCATGAGGGCACTGTCACCTGTGTGCTCTTATTGCCCCCAGTCAAATACCCAATATATTTCAACTAGTTATTCATGGAAGCTGAATTTAGTCACAATTTTCCTCTGATAAATACACAATTTTGTCTAAAATGTGTCGGGATGCTGCTTGGTTTGCTATTTACAAAGAATATCAAAAGGAAATTGCCACAGATGAGAAATTACTATAATTAAAATCACTACAATCGAGATCAAGTGGAACAGGTATTTTGTTTTATTTGTTAATTACTAGTTTTTCTGTGAAGAAGTGTACAGATTAAAGTTACATTTTCAGGGGATTATACACACAAATGAGGAAAACAGAAAACACGAGCATTACCAAAAATGAAAGAGTCAAAACAACCTGAGTGAAGCATCTATTAACATATAAATTATTATAATTGAAGTACCAGTGACACAATGTTCAAAACATAGTTGAAAAAGCTTATAAAATGCATTATATGGACTTTCAAGGGCTAAAATGTATTCGGCTGAGTCACTCATGAACAAAACACTCTACAGTACAGTGGCCTATGACGTTTGCTGCTTATGCAAAAAGAGCTCATCCCCAAATAGCAGGGAGCACTTTTCATGTTCGTGTTTTTCAAAGGGCCTTAATGAGTGTAATTGTAGCTGCTTATGCCACAGATGGTGCACTCTACATGCCACACTCAAACCCCTGGCCTGGGTGAGGGCCCCTTCACATGGGTGTATTCTCCGACCAGACAAAAATATTCAGTTAAAATGCACAGATAAAAGCACAAAGGAGCCAGTGAACGGGGCTGAGTGAACCTTTAAAACCACTTCAGGATGACAGCACTGTGCTTGTTTAAGAGCCTGAAATGAAATTGGCTGACCTGGGACAGTACAACACTACTACAGTGACTTTGTTCTGCTTCTTAAATACTCGAGTGTGACAGAGGTCAGCCAGCAGCTCTGCAAGTGGAGACAAGAGTAAACTAAATGGATTAAGAACAAGTGCAGCTGTGAATATTTACTCTTGTCCATAGTGAATAAATGTGAGAGGCTGTATATAGAAAAACAACAACAAACAAAAAGGAACATGATTTAGCCTCTTGTCTCTTGCGATGCTGAGCTCTTTAACATAGCACTCATCTCCTGGTTCCTTCCTGGTAATATCCTGGTTTGGACATTGTTTACCTCTGGTCATAATTCTAGTCCTTGTTTTGTCCATATTATATATATATTGTACAAAATACAAAAAAATAATCGTTATTGGATATATTGGAATAGAGAGGGGGGAAAGAGATTTGAACTTGTACGTGAACAATGCGGAATTGTGCATGACTTGGAGTCCATTGCCCATTGGAGGGCATAGCTGACCTGGCAATTTAAATGGCACTGACTGAAAGAAACATGACCTTTTTGTGTTTGAATAATAATTAATACAAAAATTTTAACTGTAAAACTGATCCACAAATTCAAGAAAAAACTAAAAATCTTGATTACATTTTTAGTGATATTACCCAGTGTATGTATACCTGCTGAGAGGCAAGAGTCAAAATAAAACTGTTGTAAAAAGCTGAGTATTGTTCATTCTAGCAGCACATAAGCAAAAACTTTCCAAGTAAAAATCTTTAGGTCAATATGGTGTTTTCTTCCGCTGTGCAATAAAATAAACAAGACTGAGTTTCTTCATTGACGTGATTCAAATTGCTATCTGTAATTTATGGCACTCCAAAGCCTCATGCACAATAAATTGATTCTGTTCACACAGTCACTCAGACATTTTGGATTTCCTTAATCAGCATTCCAATGACTGTATTGCACTTCCTGTTCTATCCATCTCCACAAACATCTAAGCATTCTATATTTTTATAGACACCTCAGACAAATGCTGCATCAAACTGTAATATCCACAAGAAATCAACTTAAACTTAATGCATTGAGCCACTATTGTTATACCGACACAGAGATTGCATATCCATCCTGCAAAGGCTCATGGGAAATGGCTGCTGAAATTACCCCATCTCCCTAAACGATCTGCCTTAATGCCTTATGCATCGTCAGTGTAATTCAACTCAACGCACGCCCATTACGCATTGGAAACAGTGGGTTTGAAGCGCTAGGTAATTGTCCGCATTGTGAGAGCAGCTATATTAAAACAGGCACAGACTTAATTGAAAGTGTTAAACATCTAATGGCTACTTGTAATGAAAGGAGGAGAGTGATGTACAGAAGTCTGTGCTATCTTTGCTATCTTAAAGAGAAGTCGTGCTGGTTTCCATATACAGGGCTAGAAGACAATAGCAGGAGGTTAATTACACAGTTTAAAGCATTTTTCGCATGCAAGAGTGCAAAAAAAAGACAGGACCAGTAGATACAGTGGATATGGAGTACAGACGAGTTGGTGGGAGGGGAAGCTGGAATAAAAACTTTTAAAAGAAAGGTTTTTAGTACATGGAGACAACTAAGAAGTGCTCTGCTCAACTATTATTATTAATATTAGTTGTTTGCATGATTCAAATGACTGGATAAATATAAATATGTATTTATTTAT